AAAAACGAGCGTTCTTGCTCATTTTGCTTCCGAGAAACATGCAAAACGGGACGAAAAACATGAAATTTTGCAATAATCTTGCGCCACCCTTGCACGAAACGACGTTCATTTTTCTAATTTCATAAACAACAGAAGACAAACCCTCCCCTCCCTGACTTTAAAGCTGGATCCGCCCCTGCTTAAGACGGGATGGAACAGCAGTCATCAGTTAAATACTGGCTAATTAGACGCCAGGAAATTAGCCAGTCGTTCACTGCACTGATGCGTCATAATTTAACAGTCAAGTAAACAAGCTCTAACAGGCCTGGGAACCGATTTTTCTAGGAAAATGCGGCAGATCCTTTGTTCAGTTAGCAAGGGTGACTAGACCACTATGGGTTTTCCAATTAATTTGCTCAATTATCCCACCACTAACCACTAGGAGCGGAAATGACCGCACAGTTGGTTTCGTCTCAAGCTTCTAAAAGTCCCGATTTCTGTCGGTGGCCCAAACCGGTGAAAATTGGTATGGTTTGCGATTGTTAAGCGAATTTTTCTCTCTTTTAACCGGGGGTTTTGCAATTGTTGGCAAACTTTGCTTCGCAACTTTGCGCTCATTCCGCGACTACAATACCCGTACCAGCGGTATAGTCGTGGACTCACCTCGTATCTGCTTTGTTCTTAAGGCTCAAAAACCAAATTCGTAAATTGAGTCCGCGACTATACTGTATCCAGCCCCCATGTATAGTCGAGGCTAGAACCTACGGCAAAACTACTAAACTGTTATGGAATCGCAGCAGAATGTTTTTGGCGAGAAAATCTTGGAAAACCCGAAAAATTGCCGCTAAGTTCATCAACTACCGATCCACACCATCAAGAAACATGAACAAACCGCATGATTTAAATTCACCGCTTACCCCATTTTAACTTGAGTTCTTGATATTTAAGGCCGATTAAATGCTAAAACCCCGACTAACTACCGCTCGTACTTACCGTGAAGAAAGCCCGTAGTAGAGGAAGCAATAAAAAAATACAGATAGAGCAAGTAAGTCAATAGACTGTCCGCTTCTGAGCGCCACTTACCGTCCAAAAGGTCCTCAACAGCCGTTCGGACACCTTTATCGAAAGCTCGGGCATCGGCCGCCGCCTGAAACGTGAGTCCAAATCGCTTGGACCCGGTGCGCCAATGATGGAAGGTGGGCATCACCTTGTTGTACTCAAAGTCCTTTTTTATCGTACAGCTCAGAACCACCTGAGCGGCATGGGGCGGTTTAATTCAGGGGCTCAACTATCGGGGGGTGGGCGCTTACCGAATTGTCGCTGATCCGCTTGCCGTAGATGAGGTAGTCGTGCTTTGGTTTTTGTGAGTGGTCGCCGCCCTGAGTGCGAGGGCGGCGCCTCACTGAGACTTCGCTCAGGCCGCCACCTCCCAAGGGAACCCAGCCGCCAGATGAGTCGTCGCGTGACATCACCTGTGCTCGCACTCGCACCAAGTAGTGGCCACTGCAACCAAGAGAAAACAGCATTATGCCCTCAACCATCAACTAACTCAAAAAAACCACTGGGGGGAAATTGGGGCAACAAACTTACTAAACCGGGCCATGGGTCTGCACGTTCGTCTGGATTTTCATTGGTTCCTCCGGCACAGATTCGGAGTCAGACGAGGCCTGTGGTTCCTCCAACTTACAGTGTTTTCAATACCTCCACCACTAAAACCCCCACTCAAAAGCACCAGACCCTCAGTGAAATTGCTGATTGATTGACTGTGCAATGTACTTGGACGGAACCGTAGCCTGTCACCGATCTGAGCAACCACTACCGCACCATCACCCAGCTCAGAACCCCAATTTGGTGAGTGAACCTTCCAAGGTTGCAATGCGACCGCCCAGTAACGCTTTTCGCAGCCAACTAAAAGCGGGATGCACGTTGAATCGGTGACGATCTTAAGGGGAGAACTCATTGACGTCATCACTGATGCGCCCCCCATAGGCCCGTGCATGCCCCCACCCCGCATTCGGCCGACCGGGGGAGCCAAAATTAGGTAACTGGGTGATGCTGAGTTCAGTGAACGCGAGGGGAAATTGCAGGGAATGTTTTCGCCATTCTCCCAACTGAAACTGCTCGAGTCGCCCCCAAAGCGCCGCCTGAAATTTCTAATTAATAAAACCGTCTTGAACAGTTCATTCATATCTAGCGGCTTCGTTGATGGCAATCCTACATATGTAAGGAAACTAGAATGGAAACATCAATAAGTCACAGGCCACGTGGTACATTAGTGACATCAGAGGCGAAACAACAAACTGGCTTTCCATCAAGGGCGGATCCAGGGGGGGGTCTTGGGGGG